CTTTTTTTTTTTTTTTTTTTTCTGTTTCATTTTTGCTACAAAACCTAAGCATTTTCCTGTGGGGTTGACCTAAAAGGAATTCTTCCCCCACCAAACACCGTTAGGTCACTAGTAAGCCCCCGACATTACCTCCTCACCGATAAATGACCAATAACCCCCCAATATGATTCTCAGAGTTGTGTCCTACATGGCACAACTGGATATGTGAAACTTTCCCCTTGCCGCCAGTAGCCACCTGTGACTCTGCCTGTCTTGTACTAGATGTACCCAGTGGTACACTGCCTTAAGGCTCCCATTCAGCAAATGCGTGCGCTTAAAAGTGAAGCAAACACAGAAATGTTTGCATCATTCTGGCCTTAGCTTTTTTGAACCCTTCGAGCCAGGGGCTGGTTATAGGTTGACATGTTTTGCCTCCTATTTATTGCTCTATTAGCTATACTTTTTGAAAGCCTGTAAGCGCTCTGTGCTGCTGATCATAAAGACCATGATAACCCAAATGACACCCCCCTGCTTTCTATTCACTCTTCTTTATCAGCTCGTGGGTAATGCACTGGGCTGGGATTCAGGACAGCTGGGCTTTATTCCTGTTCTTGACTTGTTGAGGTCAGCTCATTTGACCTCTCCATCCCAACATACTGGCTTTTGGGGCCAGGGACTCCTTTTATATCAGGGCCAGGGTGCTGCTGTCAAACCAGCTGCCAAATTCCCTCTGCCCCCTGTCCCTCCACCCCACCATCCCCTTAGGTGTGCAGACCCAGCCCTCAGTCGCGCAGGGAGCTCTCTCTGCTGTTCCTGCCACGTGCAGGTTTTTTTATTCTCTGCCCATAAGGTAAGGACTTTTTTTTCCCCCTTCCTGCATTCCTGTTGAAAGCATGAGGGGAGCTGCCCCCCTCCGTGGCTCAACGTCCCCTCTCAGCCTGCCTAGGAAGAGCTAGCGTGGGTGGGTGGGAGCAGGGCCTGGGGCAGCTCCTCCTCCTGTCTCATAACTTCTTCCAACTGTGCAGGGAGCTCCACTTCGGCCCCTCGGACCTGCACGCCTGCCTGGGAGCGACAGGAGCCTGGATACCCAGCCCAGCCTTTGGGGGGGATTTTTGACAGCTTGCTCCCAGACAGAGAGCGGCTCGGTCCTCCATGGGGACGGGGAAGAGGTTGACGGCGTCCGACGGCTGCAGCGTTTCTCTTCCTTGGGGGGAACCCAGCACGTGAAAGCTTCGCCCAGGTAAGTCCTGCCAGCGCCGGAGATGCCCGGTCTTAGAGCTTTCTTTAGCTGCGCTGGCAAATCTTGCCCTCCAAAGCAGGTTTAGCATATGTTTGGCTGAGATCAAGGGGATATCTGGCGAGGGGAGGGGTGGCGGGGCCTGCATTTGCAGCTGCTGGGTGCTGGAAGATACTTTCCAAGTCTTCAGCGTAGTGCTGGAGCTCTGTGGGAACTGAAATGACTCTTTTGAGGTCATTAAAATGCCAGAGGCCTATTGCTGCTCTAAACTTCGGGGCACTTTTCCAGAGCGATTCAATAGAAATGGCCCGGGGCCGTCCCTGGTTGTGAGAAGGAGAAGACTGACAGCGAAGGCCTGTCGGATGCATCCTGCTCTCAGCCCTGTCGCCTTCCTGGGGTTGCTTCTGGGCACAGCTGCATAGTTGACCCCAGGCATTTCCCTGATCGATAGGACTGAGAGCTGGGCTTGTTTTAATGAGGCATGCATTTGGGTTTCCCCAAAACTGGTAAAATCACTGGCGCTAGAGGCGAATGATAGCTTTGGAAGGGAGCTCCGGGGGCATCTAGTCCCACCCCCATGGATCAATTGTATTAAAACAATAGCAGCCCTAAGGTGGTCACTATTGTTGGAATTGGATATTACAGGGGGTTATTGGAGTGGGGGGGGGGGGCCTGGCCTGCCCCAGGGGGTCCACTCTGGCTGGGACATGCAGCCCTGGGGAGGGATAGAGCGACATGTGCTATTTCTGCACCCCCCCGCCGTATTCTGCTCTCGGTTGGACGGTGGGCAGCCCGGAGGAAATGCACCGGACTCGTTGCTCAAGACATGCCTGGGTGTGAGTGACAGCAGCATTTAAGAGCTTGTGATTTGCAAGGCCATGGCCATGAAGGGTTAGCGCAGGGAAGCCCAGAGGTGGCTTGGCCCTCCGGACAGCTGCTCCAGGGGCTAAATAGGACGGTGAACCAATCCCAAACTAACCAGTTAGTGGGGCTAGCACTGCGGGTCAGTACATTTGGGGTCCATAAAGCCCTTAAAGTTTCCCAGTTGTTCTTAGGCTCAGAGCTGCCCAGCAGCAGGCAGGACCCCTCTCCCTGCCTCCCACCCCCAAGACGTCCTTCCTCAACAGCAAAGCCTGGTAGCCCTTTGAGGCAACTCTCCAGCAGCCACAAACAGTATAGACCAGTGGTTCCCAACCAGCTCACTGCTGCGGCCTACATGATGTCACATTAAATGGATGCATGGAAAGAAAGTTGTGTGGGTCCAGCCCGCAAGCTGCAAGTGTGGCCTGCTGTGGCCAATAGGTTGAGAACCGCCGGTATAGACCCTATGACACACAGACGAGCACCTCTGATTGCATGCAGCAGAAGGCAGCGATGATGCACGCATCAGCCGGTGTGCTGCGACGCGGAGCGATGCCGGGCAGTCCCCCTATTCCCACCTGCTGCCTGTAAGCACTGGAAATCCTGCCCATGGGGAAACGGAATAATCTATGAACCCTGTAAAAATCTATTGCTCTGCACCCCTGATAACTTAGAAATACTGGAAGGGGTGAGAAGAGAGGCTTAGCAGCATGCAAAGGATTAACAAGGAGTCAAGAAAATCCTCCTGGCAGCAAGAGACAGATTAGGCTGTGGTGCAACCTCCCCAGGGAAGTGGTGTCAGTCCATTATAAACCCATTTGGGTGAGTTTCTAGTTAACTGATTGCAAAGCGGGACTGGATTAGGTTCTCAGTCACCTATATGGACTAACAACCGGGTCCCTCCTGCTCAGTCCAGCTCCTGAGTCTTGTAGCTTAACTGTTGAGCTCTTCAAGGCAGGAATTGCTTTTGTTAGACCTGTCTGTGCAGTGCCTGACACTGCACGGCCATAAGTCTAGCCCTGCGGGGGCTGTAGGAATATGAATACTCATAGCCCCCTCCTCTCTCATTCCTATGAGCCGGGAATGCCCAATGCTTCAACGCTGATCCCAGCCTCACCTTTCCGCAAATGGGAAAGGGCTGGCTTGTGATTTTGTTGCTGCTATGAGGCCTAAAGCTTCGCACCGCATTTTCTCAGGCAAAAATTACCCATGCTCCTTCATACACTCAGAAGGTAGGAGAACGACGGGTGGGTAAAATCTGCCCATCCATGGGGGATGCTTCGAGCTGAGTTGGATTGTATTTGCACATCCTGCAATCAGCTCAGGAATGAGCCCCTGAACGGCAGCCGCTCAACTGTAAACCAAGACCCCCCCGCCCCCCAAAATAGGGAACATCTGGCGACGGCAGCTGTCAGAAGCCAGTTCACACGTGATAGGGGTAGCAGGGAGAAGAGAGAAGGGCTTGAACTTGTGCCTCAAGGGCCAGCCTACACTGCTGCTGTTAGGACGCAGGAGACAGACAGCAAGCAGAGAATGAGTCCACGGTCTGGTCTATCGAAGGGGATATGGGTTTCCCAGGGTCGTCCGAGAGAATTACTTTGGGCTCAAGGGTAGGGCTCCCGGTGTTAATTTTTGGGTTCACATCTCACTCTGGGCCCAGTTCGCCCTAGGTTAACTTCTGCTGAAGGTCCCACTGCCAAACCCCCTTCCTGCAAACTCCTTCAGTGCCAGGACAAGGCAAATCGGTATACTCTGATTTGCTTTACACCCCCGAGCATGGTACGGCATTGAGCTGTGTCTAAGGCCCCAGGTCCTGCGTGCATTGGGACGCTGAAGTAAAGCTGTGTCCGTCTGCCTGGCTCTGTGTGCTGTAAGCCAGAGGGTCTCACACGGGTGCATGGGGAGGGAGGGTCAGACCGACACCCTCGTACATCAGCTAATGTCAGGTTGTATTGTGCTGAGCCGTGTCATACCTACCAATTGCTTCACTCCATTCCCTTCCCAAAATGGGACCAATGTGTCTTTGCTGTGATTGCTCCCACAGCCCAGACCCAGGCTGGGGGTCCTGAGAAGGATCCAAGAGATGACTCCTTGGGCTATACTCAGAGTCAAATGTCTTCTTCTGTATCAGGGCTGTCCAACCTCTAAGCCCCCCGGGAGCCACACACCACGTGGGCCATACCAGGTGCGCCACGTATATCCTCCTTCCCTCCTCACTTCATGGGCACATGAAGGCAATCTTTTCCCTGCATGGGTACTCTGCATGCTGTGGGCATGATCTGCCCTTACACAGCCCAATCACCTCCCCCTCACACTAGGGGTAGGGTCCTCAGGCATACGTATGAGGGGGTCTTTCTCGGGGAGAGTGGCAGGGGTGGAGGGAAAGTCATCCTCAGCTCTCTGTGCTGCCACACTTCCTCACCCCCTGGAGCAGGGAGGCTGGAGACTCCTCCATATGGAAAACACCCAGGGGATATGTGCCGGATGCTCGGCTTTCTGTAGGAGGGTAAAGGGCCTGGCTGCTAGTAGGATGCATATTGCAGAGCATCTTGCATGTTGAAAGGTTTTGCAAAGCTCCTTTGTCTGTGACCCTCCAGAGCCCCAGGCAACAGAGGTATCTCTGCCTGTGTGCTGATGGGCTCCAGCGTGTAATATGTGTGTGTGCTTGAGTGTGCTCTCAGTTAAAGAGGCTGGTTTCTTGCTCATGTGCAAGACTCTAGGTGAAGGCCAGGACTTCCCTGATTCATCCAGCTGTGCTCCCTAGAGGGCGAGCACAATGCCGGCACAGTGAAACTCTGTCTTCAATTCCTCTGGGCCAGCAGTGCAAGCAAAGCATTGATGTGCAAGAACGATGTGAGAGCAACCCCCCAGGGCAAGCTCTTTGCATCAAACCAACCCCTTTTCTTCCAACTGGCGCCACATGTAGATTTGTATTGGGGGAGGGGGGGAGGAAAAATGTCCAAAAAAAGGCCACAAGTGGGCTGTGAGCAGCCGGCTGGGGCCTGGAGAAGGGTGGTGAAGTGATTATAGTCTTGTGTAGGGCTTAGGGGTCAAAGCACCACTCCGCCACAGGCCTCTTACATGACCCTGGGCAAGTCACTTAGCTTCTCCATATCTCAGTCCTCCATCCATAACATGAGGATAACAGCACAGCCTAGGCCCACAGGGACAATGCAAGGATAAGTACCTTAAAGACTGCAAAGTGCCCAGCTGCTCTGGCCACATGAATACCTTAGAGGGACTTGTCTCTTTGTCTTGTCCCTCAATTTTCTCTCCTAAAGCCACTGTCTGCACCACTGAAAATATTTTCAGGCCCTTTTGCACGCAACCTCTGTTATGTTGTAAAATACCTTGGCTGGGATGATATACGTGGGGCTGGTTGTACTTTGAGCAGGCGGTTGGACTAAATGACCTCCTTCAGTCCCTTCCAACCCACATTTTCTATGATTGCTTCTATGTGGTTGCCTGTCATTGCAGGGGACTCCCTTGGTGACCCAGGTGGGCCCTCACCTGAGTATCAACCCGGCATAACTCCATTTAAGTCTGTGCAAATTAAATCGGGATCAGGCCCAGGGTGGATTTATCCTGGGAGTTTTATCAGCACAGCCCTGATTCTACAAGGTATCTAGGAGCTGCAAGAGGCCTTCTGGGCAATCAAAGCTAGTCCTTTGCTTTTGCATGTAATTGCTACCTCCAGGAAGCCCCCAGATCACCATTTCAATGGCCCCCTCGCTGCAGCTCCAAGGCATGGTGCCCAAACCACCAAGAACACCCTAAGCGTGTGCCAACCAGCCTGGAAGTATTACCTTTGGCTCTGCAAAGGAGACATTTCCCTTCTGCAAAGGAAAACCAGATAATGGATATAGTATTGCTGATGCTCTAACAGTGCTGAGTGACTGCAGGTTTTTTAAAGTGGTTCATGCTAAGTGTCCTATTGCTTTTGTGCAGTGTAAGCCCTGAAACCGAGGAAAGGTATGGTGTTGAAATGGTTACGTTTCCTCCATACTGGGTGCATCTACACGTTCATTAATGCAGCATAGTTACTGCACATTAACTAGGGCGGGTTGGACTCTATGATCTGTTGAGGTCCCTTCTGACCCTAGCATCTATGAATCCAGCATCTATGAATTAAATTTAGTACT